AACTCATGGCAATATAACGCGAGACGACTCGAACTCGTGGCAATATAATGCATGGACGTACAACTCGTTGCGATTTTAACGCATTGTGATTTCCACGCGTGGTGATATAACGCGAGACGACTCGAACTTGTGGCAATATAACGCGTGGACGTACAACTCGTTGCAATTTTAACGCACTGTGATTTCCACGCGTGGTGATATAATGCATTGTGATTTCCACGCGTGGTGATATAACGCGAGACGACTCGAACTCGCGGCGATATAACGCGAGACAACTCAAACTCATGGCAATATAACGCGAGACGACTCGAACTCGTGGCAATATAACGCGTGGATGCAACTCGTTGCGATTTTAACGCACTGTGATTTCCACGCATGGTGATATAACGCGAGACGACTCGAACATGTGGCAATATAACGCATGAAAATTCTAATCGACTGCAATTCTCACACATTGCAATTCTAACACATGGTACAACACATAGAAATTCTTATTTAGAACCAACATACATGGTAGCAGCACACGGCAATATAACACGCATAAATCTTAACACAGCATCTTCACACGACGACGAGATTTTAATTCATGACGATTGTAAACGTCAATTATAACCTTTAATACCATGATGGTCTCCACGTATAATTAGTTTTAATATCCTATTACGTTTGACCTGTAAAATTAATAGTACTTGTACATAACATTTATATACGTCCTTCACAAACGACTACCTGTCTTTAGAGAGCGTAGACGTATATAGATTTTTTCTAGCGAAAGGGTTAAAGCGCTCGAAGTAACAGTTTGAGGGATTCCGTGAAACACAATATATCGGTTGATCGTATCGGTGAACAACGTTTAATGCAATCGATTGCTCTACTTATAAATTACATGCAACGAGTTCATGTTAAACACCTCTTATTCCTAACATCTACATTCTGTACAAGGATCTGCAACGGTGACTAATTTTGATAACGTAATACGGATTTTATCTCTCTTGCGTGCCGTAAGCTATATAAGAAAGACATGTAATTACGACTTGTATCGTGTTAACGGATATCGGTATCAATTTGTCGAGGAATATAATTACTTATCTCGAATCGGTAATTCAGTTACAGATCGTATATTTTTAGGTTTCGGAACAATGGACAATATTTTGCGAATAACGTACACCGCTTCATTGATTCCAACCTCGTGCAACAGGTGTGCATGCTCGAATGTGTAACCTTGGTATTTACAATTTGTCTGCAGCTTTGTTTCTATCGTTCTCAAAGAATGTTAATTATTTGCATATTTTCTAAATATTCATAGCTATTCGCTAGTTAATTAATTGCAACACGTAATTGGTCGATAATTGTACGCTACCTTTCCACATGATTAAATAAATTGATGTCTATTAAACCGCAGCACATACTGACTTCAAAAATATTGAATTATACGTGATTTATTGACATCGCGTATCACAAAATCTGCATACGAATGAAAACCGCGCGAACAATTACATTAATATTTACAGCAAACATTATAAACTATTCTCCAACAAATTTTATAATAGATTTGCGTATCCAGTTGCGTCAGGTTTTTTTATCGTTCGTAATATGCTCTAATACGTATTGTTCGAAAAATATCCTGGTTATAAATCATATTTTACGAAAAGGGAGTCTAAACCGGAGACTTTATCGTGCATCCAATCACCACCCATAAATTATTGTTTCCAAAGGCTCGATGTACTTGAAAATATTCCATCGACTTATACTTTCCCGCCTGTATGCAATCATTTATTTCACCCGTTTGTTGCGAATTGCAAAATGAGTGGTTTTGCAACATTTCAATCGTGTGAGATCAAATCTATACCTGCATTAAGTATAATACAGAAGACATACGCGATTAATTTGACCTTTTGTATAAATATTTTCCATTTTCCTTATCGAGAGAATTTCGCGCGTCAATCGCGTTCGAAGAAAGTGGAAATCCCGGTGCGTGCGTGTAACTTTCCTGGTTGCACTCGTGGGACGTATTCTCCGTTGACGTCAGTTTCTTCGACACGTCTACGATTTCAGGTCGTTGGCTGGATGAATGAACCAGATCCTGCGTTAGCGTCGATTTATGAATGAAACCGACGCCTTGGTCCTCGCGTGATTCTTCAAGATTTGCTGTAATTTGTTTCCAGCTCTCCAGAAATCTTCATTTCTAGGTTTCAGTTGCAGGAAGGTCAGAAACAATGATAGCGTGCGTAATTTACTGAAAGAATCGTAAATATTTTCTTGTTTCATTATCTCCATCTGACGCGATCAGTGCATAATCGAACGGTATGTTGATTGGCTCGGTTAGGTAGTTGATCAACCCGATTGTTTTGATTACAACATGCGACGATCGTCAGACGAGTATTTTGCGTGTTACGCAACCTTGATTGAACGTCTGATTGGGTCAAGTGGTGAGAACAATAGTTCGTATCTGTCGGGTGTCCTCCTCGTCGGGCATAACCCTATTTTACAATCTTAATTTATCACATCCGCGGCAACTTTAGCCCGACGGTGCAAGCTTCCTCGTGCCGGAAGTGTCACTTTGACGTCTCGTTTCGTGGTCGATAAGCTCGCGAAATTAAAAAGAAACCCCAAGGTCGATCTCATCGACCTCATTTTCTGCTTTATACGTTGCGTTTATTATTACTGCATTTTTCCTTTTACTATCTGTCCTCTCGCTAAAACCTCACCTTTATACTAACTTTCAAACTCCATGTATAAAATGTAACACTTTTTTTCATATAGACATTGCGACCCTTTTTGGCTCTTCTAAATATGAAATATTTGAGTGAAGACGTTAAAAGGTACAGTTTGTTAAAATTATAAATTTCCAATATAATAAATCAATGATCAAAGACCACATAGTATGACTACTCGAATACTTGAGCTAAACTTTTGCCTCCTGTAAGTACAAAATATTTGAGTGAAGCAGTTAAGAGTCACCTATTGTTAAAATTATTAATTCTCAATTATAATAAATGAATGACCAAAGACCACATAATATGACTACTCAAATATCTGAGCTCTTCTGGCTCCTCCAAATGTGAAATATTTGAATGAAGAAATTAAAAGGTACTGTTTGTTAAAATTATAACTTTCCAATATAATAAATCAATGAACAAAGACCACATAGTATGACTACTCGAATAGTGGAGCTAAACTTTTGCCTCTTCCAAGTACAAAATATTTGAGTGAAGCAGTTAAGAGTCACCTATTGTTAAAATTATAAATTCCCAATATAATAAATCAATGACCAAAGACCACACAGAATGACCACTCAAACATCTGAGCTAAACTCTTGGCTCCTCCAAATGTGAAATATTTGAGTGAAGAAGTTAAGAGTCACCTATTGTCAACATTATAAATTGCCAATTATAAATAAATGACCAAAGACCACATGGTATGACCACTCAAACATCTGAGCTAAACTCTTGGCTCCTCCAAATACGAAAGATTTGAGTGAAGAAATTAAGAGTTACCGATTGGTAAATTATGAATAAATGATCAAAGACCACACAGAATGACTATTTGAATACTTGAGCTAAACCAGACAAATGTCTCGTATGATACTATGACATAATATCTTTGCAGACAAGTAATTTGCATACACGTTCGGTCCAGCTAATCAAACACGCTAATGTAGGGAAACTGTCAATATTAGGCACGAAGCATGCATTTCAATAAACTATATTTAATTTATTTCACAGATAAATATCGTACAAGCAACTTTTACATGAGAACTTATGTTATACATATTTAAACTTATCAATGCATCCACAATCAACGTTCGCTGATCGATTCAGCGTCGTTCGGTTGAATAATTAACTGAATGATACATCAGTTTCTCGCGAAATCATAACTCCTTCTAATCATTCGATCAAATCGACGATACAGAACTGTATATTGTCATTGACGCCTCGAGACATTGAATCACCGGTTTATCAAATCAGTCCACAATCACTTTGTTTATTCATATCTTTTTAACAAAATTCGTAGGAACGTATGAACTGATCTAACATATAAGGACAGAAATGAACACACGTGTCGTTCAAGTATTTTAAGCAATCAATAGAGCTGAAAAGATTGACGACTATTCGCGATTTTCTCGTATGCGTATTTCCGTTGAAGATTCCTTTCCTAAAGCTAGCCGCGCTTAATCGATTCGGAACGAATTCAAGCGGTCGCTGACCTCCAACTATGACTAGGCTAAAAGAATAGCGAGGCAAATTAATTGTCAGTTTCAAACTTTCACGCTTTCGTCACTTCTTCCACGCGTGGGATTACATTTCTGGCGAATTACAAATTTAAAATTTGATCAACAATATGGATTGGAAATAAAATTGGGAAGGTTCTTCATGTGCCACTCTGGGTGTTGAACCCAGTTCAATTCATTCGAAATCGAATATCACGAGTTGAATAACCACGCAAGTTTTCAACAAAGGGTAATAAAGGATTCTCGAAATTAAATTATGCACCAAATTATTTTATTAGATCCGAACGACTGAAAGCTAATAGAAAATACATTTCTCAAATTTCCACTCTCTCAAATCTCCAATCTCTCAAATTTCCAATCTCTCAAATCTCCAATCTCTCAAATTTCCACTCTCTCAAGTTGTCAATCTCTCAAATTTCCAATCTCTCAAATCTCCAATCTCTCAAATTTCCAACCTCTCAAATCTCCAATCTCTCAAACCTCCAATCTCTCAAATCTCCACTCTCTCAAATCTCCACTCTCTCAAACCTCCAATCTCTCAAATCTCCACTCTCTCAAACCTCCACTCTCTCAAATCTCCAATCTCAAATTCTCAACCTGTCAAATCGTGTGCTTCGAGTAACTAAGGTCAAAAGTAAAGTAAAGCAAAGTGTGAAACCAGCGTGGAAATCAATCGCATTCGATTCGAACCTAAGCTTTCGTAAAATGGCGTTGGAGCAAGCGATGTAAAAAGTTTCAGCGTCGGCGTTATTTCGTGAAATTCGAGTAAGCGACTCTCTCGAATCGTTCCATTAGAATCGTAGCACGTGTCGGAATCGCATCAGACGCTCTTCTCGGAGATGGTGCTTCTGATGCTCCTGTTGCTGTCCCTTCTCTGTAAAGTACGGGGTTGCCTCTGAGCACGAACAGGTGTTTCACGATCGCTACCCACCCTTCTCAAGCTGGTGTCCCTTTCGATACGAGCGTTCTTCGGTGGTAGAGGACCCCTGATGTTCGTATAAACCACGTACACGGCCAGGATGCCGACCACGAACATCGCCACACCGACTCCGCTCACGGTGCCCACCTGAAAGTCATTTTTCATCAGTCATTAACCCTTTGCCGTGCCATTTATTTATGAGGCGCGTCAGTCAAGACTAACCATTCAGGACTATGACATTAAAACGAACAAAGAAAATTAAAATGTTCTAAGTATTTTATATTCAGGGATCCTTGACAACGCAAATTATAGTTGGATCTAAAATTCAAGTTGAGGAGTATTCAAAATTTGAGTAACATTAATCGCATTTGAGTTGTGAGTGCGTCACGAGTGAGACTCGTCAAAGCACGGCAAGGAGTTAATCCATCAAAGATCAGTTTTTCCCATCATCGGTCTTTCAACATCTCATCGATCTTTCAACACCTCGTTTTTTCAACACCTTTACCAGTCGTTTTCTATCAGTCATTGATCGATCAAATTTAATCGTGCTTTTTCATGAACGAAGTTATAAAATTCTTCAGATTGAGATAGTGTTTCGTCAATACTTAATAACTATTATTTGTGACTTCCGCTTGTAATTTATGTCTAGAAGCAAATTGTTTCCGACATTTCATCAACATTGTGACTAATCTTCATCGGGAAGCTGATACTTATCGAAACCTTGAATACTTTTTATACATAATCTACAACCGGAACTCTTAAGATGTATTGATGTTTCGTTCGTATGCTTGTTAGTCGTTTAGGTGTAAATTTTGAAAGTCGTATAGAAATGTGGAAATTTGATACTGTGGAATTTAGGAAATTTGAGATTTGGAGGGGTAGGTAGAAATTTGGAAAAGTGGGGAATTGATAGGGTGGGGATTGAGAAATATAAAGGTGTGGAAGAGTAGGGATTTGGATATGTAGGCATCTTAAAATTTAGAAGTTTAAAGTACTCAAATTGTCAAATTTCGAATCTCTCAAATTTCCAATTTGTCAAATTTGCAATCTGTCAAATTTCCAATGTCTTAGATTTTCAACTTGTCAAATTTCCACTCTCTCAAGTTTCCAATCTCTCAAAGTTCCAATCTCTCAAATTTCCACTCTCTCAAATTCCCAATCTCTCAAATTTCCACTCTCTCAAATTTCCAATCTCTCAAGGTTCCAAACTCTCAAGGTTCCAATCTCTCAAGGTTCCAACCTCTCAAAACTCCAATCTCTCAAATTTCCAATCTCTCAAATCTCCACTCTCTCAAATTTCCACTCTCTCAAATCTCCAATCTCTCAAACCTCCAATCTCCCAAATTTCCACTCTCTCAAATCTCCAACCTCTCAAATCTCCAATCTCTCAAATTCTCAACTTGTCAAATTTGCAACCTATCCCAATTACCACTCCTTCAACTGAACCTAACTCTTCCAAATCACCTATACCCCTAAGAGTCACCCATGTACCTCTCCCAAAGCACAATTATATCCCCGAAGGTATACTAACCACAGTCCACCAATCGCTGTCGTCCATTTCCGAAACCAGAACGTGAGCAGCATCGTCGTCGTCCTCGTGTAACAACTTGATCTCTTTAGGCGTAGTAGCGCAACCGGTTTTCGTTCCCTTTTCTTTGGTAATCAATTTCTTGAACATGCCCGGCATGTCATCGCCATCGTCGTCATCGTCGTCCTCATCGTCGTCGTCTTTGTCGTCGTCATCGTCGTCGTCGTCGTCGCCCCAATGCAGCTTCACTTTGTCCTTGCTGACGACGATGCTACCGAGAGTTTGGAGGTCCGCTGCTTTTACTTTCATCGATAGTTCGAGAGACGCTGTAGCCGACTGCGATTGTTTCGCTTGATCGACCAGCACGTTTGTTAGGACGTTGTTCCAGTCCACCGGGTTCACCTGGTTCTTGCATTTCTTCTTTTTGCTGGTGGAAAGTAAAATCAACTTCTTTTTGTATTATTTCGCTGATACAGAAATTTAGGGTGTATAGCTTTCTTATTTATTTTAGGATGCATCATTATTTATTCTGATTTTTTTATATTTCTGTGACTGATTAATATTGAAACTAAAGGTCAGATGAGGCTTTTACATGTTTTTCATTTTATCTTACAAAATTTAAGATAGCTTCTTTAGAATCTCCGTTAATCTTCACGAAGGTGAAAAATTAATTTATGTCTCATAATTTGCTTATTTATTTTTTAACTTCATTTTTAATTTTAGAGTAAGCGAAAGCATGACTCTTGGATAAAGTAGATATACTTTTAGACGTCGACTTCGTCGAGTATGAATTTTTAGATTCAACAAAACTTTATACTCTGTAAATAATGTAGTGCTTGTAGATTTTAACAAATTTCTAAATGTTATGCACTGATTTAACGCTGGGTTCTTATCATAATAGCACTCGAGTAAAAAATGGCAGTCATTAAGAAGTAAATAAATATCCTGTTAACTGAAAGCTTGTGTCATAACAGATCACGTTTTAGATAAATTAATTTCCGTTTTATTACAGCTCCAACCTACATATGTAATCGTCGCGAGCACTGTTTCGAAAGTTTTATGGACATTACAATCACCTATTAATTCCGCGCAATTTTTACGTATCCATAGGTAACGCGATTGCGATTTTTTGCGCGATACTCACCATAGCGTGTCTAATGCTTTCGCGTACACTTTTATCGCGTCCTCGAGCCATCTTACATCTCTCAGTTCCTCCGCGTCGAATTTTCCGTCCTTGTTCGACCACCATTTTGATTTCTCAACCCTCGCTTCTAATCCAGCAAACTCGTTCCTGTTAAACAAATCGATCATACAATTCTATCAACAATGGATTATATATTTATTTCATTTCAGGCTTTATTTTGACTTTTTAGGTTGAATTGCTCCTACGTTTATTTTTCTTGGGCCTAATTTTTTCTAGTTTTTAATTAGATTACTTTAGAGGTATTTATATAATGTCATAGTGTGCAAGTTTTTCAGCGAACCTGTTCTTTAATGTTGGAAACCGTTATGCATTTGCAATTGTAACGATTGTTAGAACGCTGAGGGACGGATTAGGAATGCGTTAATTATAGGAGAATACTGATCGCTCACAACGTGTTTATGAATTCTTTATGTTAATAGCTTTAACACTCGTCGGGTTTTTTATCGAGCTGTAACCAGAAATTATGAAATTTTTAATGGATTTACAATACTAGCGACATTAAACGTAGAATTAACTGCTGCGTTACTGATTTCGATCAAATTTTTGTTACTGTACAAATGATCGATCAAATTTTTGTCACAGAAATTGCAAGGCTCTGTCAAAACAAGCTCTCTCAGAATTTACAAGCGTTCATTTCGATAGAGATCAACCTCAAAGAAAAATATGTAAATGAATAGGATCGAAACTTCAAAATCGAGATGACCTTTTTGATAAAAATGTTGCAGCCAAATTGCGATATATAAAAATCGGTGAGTCAGCCGATTCGTTTGTAATTACGCGTTCTTTTTTTATCTCTTCCTGTCACTTTTAGAAACTGGTAGATGCTTGGTTACGTATCAATATTTATGGAGGTAATTACGTTCAACGGTAAACTTGTGAAGTTTACACAACATCTCCGAGAAAAAGTGTGCTTTTGTGCGAATAGTGAGTCACTCGCTAACGGATATTATTTCAGTTTCTTTTGATAATCAAAGTTATATTAACTGTTAGGTTATTAGAGGCTGGACACTCTGATCGTTAGATAAAGTCAATCTTGACTTATATGGAGGAGTATTAATCATATTTTCATTAGAGAAGGTGACAATATATTCTACATTTCATACACAGCTACTATTACCGTGTATAGATAGTCACTATTACCACGTATAGTTGTTATTACCAGTTACTATAAAACACAAGCTTTAACTTTGTTCAATATATTTTCTTATTGATCTTTGTTCATTGTTATAATTTAATTTCATCCAGCTTTTTGTCTGAACTTTAATGTGTGTTAAAATATTTTATACTTCAAACATTGTTCAATGATTATGATACTTTTTCTGTCCAACATCTTAGCTGAACTTTATTTTGTCTGAACTTCAGTGTGTATTAAAATATGTCATATTTTAAATATTGCTCAATGATTATATTTTTTCTGTCCGCCATCTTAGCTCAAGCTTATTTTATCTGAACTTCAGTGTGTTTTAAAATATTTCATATTTTAAATAATTGTTCAATGATCATACTTCTTCTGTCCGACATCTTAGCTGAACTTTATTTTGTCTGAATTTTAGTGTATATTAAAATATCTTACTTTTTTAATATTGCTCAATGATTATACTTTTTCTGTCCGCCATCTTAGCTGTAGTTTATTTTGTCTGAACTTCAGTGTGTATTAAAATATGTCATATTTTAAATATTACTCAATGATTATATTTTTTCTGTCCGCCATTTTAGCTGCAGTTTATTTTGTCTGAACTTTAGTGTACATTAAAATATCTCATATTTTAAGTAATTGTTCAATGATTATACTTCTTCTGTCCGACATCTTAGCTGCAGTTTATTTTGTCTGAACTTTAATGTATATTAAAATATGTCACATTTTAAATATTGTTCAATCATTGTACTTCTTCTGTCCGACATCTTAGCTGTAGTTTATTTTGTCTGAACTTTAGTGTACATTAAAATATCTCATATTTTAAGTAATTGTTCAATGATTATTCTTCTTCTGTCCGACATCTTAGCTGCAGTTTATTTTGTCTGAACTTTAGGGTACATTAAAATATCACACATTTTTAATATTGCTCAATGATTATACTTCTTCTGTCCGACATCTTAGCTGCAGTTTATTTTGTCTGAACTTTAATGTATATTAAAATATGTCACATTTTAAATATTGTTCAATCATTGTACTTCTTCTGTCCGACATCTTAGCTGTAGTTTATTTTGTCTGAACTTTAGTGTACATTAAAATATCTCATATTTTAAGTAATTGTTCAATGATTATACTTCTTCTGTCCGACATCTTAGCTGCAGTTTATTTTGTCTGAACTTTAGTGTACATTAAAATATCTCACATTTTTAATATTGCTCAATGATTATACTTTTTCTGTCCGACATTTTACCTGAAGTTTATTTTGTCTCAACTTTAGTATAGTGTACATTAAAATATCTCACATTTTTAATATTGCTCAATGATTATACTTTTTCTGTCCGACATTTTACCTGAAGTTTATTTTATCTCAACTTTAGTGTGTATTAAAATGTCTCATGTTTTAAATATTGTTTAATGATCATGCTTTTTCTGTCCGACATTTTACCTGAAGTTTATTTTATCTCAACTTTAGTGTGTATTAAAATGTCTCATGTTTTAAATATTGTTTAATGATCATGCTTTTTCTGTCCGACATTTTACCTGAAGTTTATTTCGTCTGAACTTTAGTGCGTATTAAAATGCCTCATGTTTTAAATATTGTTCAATGATCACGCTTTTTCTGCCCGACTTAGCTGAATCAACACCGAATGAATTGATCTTTTTACCGGTCCTTAATTGCAAGACCCTTATTAATTCGAAAACGTAGCAATCGTATATTTCTTGGGAACGGCTGTTCGGTCAGCCAAATACGACGAGGGTCCGAATCCCAACATTAACGACTGAACGAAAGGTGTAACGTCCTCGGTTTCGACGCGAAAGGACGAAAGGGAGCCTTGGCGTTGCTGTATCCTGTGCAAAGGGTGTGAAATGCGGACGACGAAAAACTTTGGGCGGAGAGGAAAAAAGTGGCGCGAGAAAACTACTTAGATGTAACAAAAGAACGCGTCGTAAATCACAATGATAATCACGACTGTCTGCGTGAATCGATAACTGCTAGAAGTACTTATTCGTTGATCGGTTAATTGATGTCAACTGTTTAATTGTTCAGATGGAAGTTCTTAGTCTGACAATTGAGCCGTTCAGTGCACACATTGATTAACTCCATTTTTTGAAAAATCTTAAATTATTATAAATAGAAAAAGTTATGACTATACCAAATTAACACTTAAATTTAAGATGTTTCAAAAAATGGAGTTAATCAATGTGTGCACTGAACGGATCAATTATTAATAAGCGTATATGGGTACTGTGATCACTATGTTTTATGTCTGTGTATTTGTAAGATGGTGTTTGTCTAGATACTCTATATTCCTGGATCCTGGTGTTCTCAGATTTCCATATTTCTAGATATGTTCTTATCTGTGTACTCCCTCTGTTTCTCAGTCTATGGCCTCTGTAGCTTTGTCAGATTGAGAATGCAGTTTTTATGAACTGTGAAATTGTTGAGGTTACCTGGAATCTTCCAGAAGAAGTATACTATTGGTCGAGTTCACGTGATTCAGGTGATTCTCGAGTCGTCCTTCGCTGACAACTAAAATGGTGGAGTTGAAGGGCTTGCTGAAGAATCCGTCCTCTGGCGTCCCAATGTGCACAATGTGCGTTGTCAGATCTTCAAAAGAACATTTCAAACCTCTTCTAAATATCTAAAGTTTCATATCCAAACTCAATTATCATTAAGAACTTGATTATTAATAATCCAATAATTTCTCAAATCCCAGCAATGTCCATAAATTTAAATTTCTTTAAATGTTCACGAATTTAAATTTCAAAGCTACCTGACAAATCGAACCGCCATGCTAATTTCGTTAGTATAAATTATAACACCCAAAGGAAGTTCTTTGTTTCCGAAAAATGATCCGTACAAAAAATGAGCGCCAGGTTAAATTCGGCAACAATAGAGAGAAGAAACAGTCGTTAAATGATTGTACTCGGAGAGTCGTACCGTCTTTATCGCCGTCGTACACCAAAACACAAAGACCCTTCTCAATAGCCGCCATTGTTAGTTTTTTCGCGATGTTCTGAGCGTCGTCCTCGCCATCGTCGTCGGCGTTCACCACCAGCGTGAACGACTTCCACTTCAGTTCCTGCACGACCTTCAACGTTCCCTGAAACAGAAAATCACCGAGTGACAGCGCGGTAATTCTCTTACGATCCCGTTTAATCTCGTAAGTCTCCATTGTTTTCAGAAATTTTCTTAAGAACTAAATATATTCGATTGTCTCTTCACGTTGGTTGTTAGCTTTAATTAGCGTCCATATTTTCTGGCTTATTTATATTAATTCAGGAGTTTATGGAAATTTTTATAATGTTATTCTTTATGGAAATTCAGTTTATGTTTCTTTCTTCTGTAGGAATTTAATTTCTTGTAATTTACTGATTGGTTAATTTACTGAGTTGGACTTTTAGTTCCCTGTGTAGGTAACTTGTACTTGATTTTTTATTTTTAACCCCTTCCCGTGCTTTGACGCGTCTCACTCGTGACGCACTCACAACTCAAATGCGATTAATGTTACTCAAATTTTGAATACTCTTCAACTTGAATTTTAGATCCAACTATAATTTGCGTTGTCGAGGATCCCTGAATATAAAATACTTAGAACATTTTAATTTTCTTTGTTCGTTTTAATGTTATAGTCCTGAATGGTTAGTCTTGACTGACGCACCTCATAAATAAATGGCACGGCAAGGGGTTAATGTTGACAAGCATAATTATGGACAATTCATACACCAAATGAAATTGCAAGGTAATAAATTGATAAAAAATAAAATCTAATGCAAAAATGCTTCGATCATTAAAACATATACGCAGCGTCAGAATTACCACTTTACTTTGTCCACATAAAATTAATCAGTTTTGCATTATAGCATCGATAATTGCATAATTTCCATAGAAACTCTGAATTTCCATATAAAATGTCTCTATCCTCTTAATGCATCGAATCAAATATGTATGCATAATTAGAATGTTCACCGTTCGAATTAATCGAACGAGGTCCTACGCATAAAATGATACATAACAATTAATTCGCTCGAGCCTATAATAAACATGATTTTTATCGGTGATCGCTGATTTACGCTATCGTTTACATTTACGATCTTGTCGTTTAGAGTTATTACCCTGCGAAAGCTGCAATTTCAAGCATGGACACCGTGTAATTACCCGTTCTTGCTCCGTGAAATATAATCGTACAAAACATGATGTATCAGTTATCGGGTAGTTAGAACATCGTCGGCTTATTATCACCAAGAAGCGTGATTTTTCAAACTGTTCACGATAAATCGACGTTTACCTGAACCAGGTAGGTGTCGGATTCTTTTGGTAGATGGTGAAGATAGGGGGAATTCGAAGCTCGTTCCACGATGTGCGGTACTTTTAATACCGACGTTATCTTCTGTACGGCTTCCGCATTCGTCGCAGTGTCCGGGCCAATAATACCTACGCAAACAGTTCGATCTTTCTAATTTTATTCATATTTTTTACTGATCTTCGTTTAATACGAACACATAGTTATCTTACATTTAACAGAAAATACTGTTATTAAATACTGAAAAATTGTATTATTGTAATCTAAAATAATATAGCATCGCACAATGTATAGTAGTCTAAAATTAACAGTTCGATCTTTCTAATTTTATTCATATTTCTTACCGATCGTTTAACACGAACACATAGTTATCTTACATTTGACAGAAAATATTATTATTAAATACTGAAAAATTGTATTATTGTAATCTAAAATAATATAGCATCGCACAATTTACAGTAGTCTAAAATTATAACTTTGTCACATCTTATGTGAAAGTTAGATCTTTTTGTCAAAGACAGTGTTTCATAATGTACGAACTTCTAATAAAGTGCCAGCAGTGAATGTGTTAATATGAACAATGCTCCATATGATAAGAAATTTTACTCCTAACTAATCTACTTTATAAAATCCCTAACTTTAAAAAATGAAGGTTTGTTATAATTTTGCAGAATGTCACAACGTTTCTAGAAGAACCATTTACCTAAATAATAAGGCGGTTGCAAGCAATTAGTATCCGCCCCCACGAGAGCCTTCATCGCTGCCTTCAGAGCACCAGCTATACTACCGCACGTATCCACTACGGTTAGCTCTGTAAAAAAGGAACAAACATTGTATCGTATTATTCTGAGAAACCGGAAGAATAATGCAATCAATTGGATCCATTGTTAAAACGTTACAATTAACCTCCAACTTGTTACACGCTATGGATTGAGCACTAGAAAATGAATGTTTCCTTGACACCGTTTCTCTGCCACTTTTTAGCTTTCCGTTTCACTGCGCCGTTTTTGTCACTTGCATTCTAGCTTAGTTATGCATTTTTGTTTTAGAAGGTAATTAGGAGTGATAGAATACATTTGTAGTTGCTCTTGTCATAAATTATAAGGCGTTGAAAGGTGTATAGCATGGGTTATCTTTGTGGAAGGGTAGGCATAGTGTAGTGGTGAGTTGAGTTGACTTTTTCTGGTTTATCGAAATTAGGGTTGGGAAGTCACTGAAGTTTGGAAGTCACTGAAATCTTAATTCTAGAGATGTTGAAAGTCTTCACTTTAGTTTGATGGAATTAGACTTGGAAGCAGGTTCATGGGTTCTAGGATTCCGAGGTTCCAAGTTTTCAAGGTCTCAAGGTTTCAAGTTTTCAAGGTTTCAAGGTTTCAAAGTCTCAAGATTTCAAAGTCTCAAGGTTTCAAGGTCTCAAGGTTTCAAAGTCTCAAGTTTTCAAGGTCTCAAGGTTTCAAGTTTTCAAGGTTTCAAGGTTTCAAAGTCTCAAGATTTCAAAGTCTCCAGGTTTCAAGGTCTCAAGATTTACAAAGTCTCAAGGTCTCAAGGTCTCAAGATTTACAAAGTCTCAAGGTCTCCAGGTCTCAGGACCTCATGGGTCAAAAGTCCTACGATTCTACGGTTCTAGGGTCGTAGCATTCCAAAATACCACTATTCCATTTTCCCAAATTTCAGAATCCGTGCTCCACTCAAGGTTTCACCACTCCAAATTCCTATCATCCCAAAGTTCCAACCTCCCAAAGTTCAAACCTCTCCAACTCCTAACATCCCCAAATTCCACTCTCCCAAATTCCCACCGCTTCAAAGTCCTAGCGCTTCAAAACCGCAAAGTCCCAAAATTCCAACCTTCCAAGCTCATATTCCAGAATCTTCAAACCCTACAATCGCACCGATTCCCACATGTACCCTAAACCCCAACTTCCAAACGTCCCCGGCTCTCCAAGTTTTTAAACATCTCCCTGTTTCTAAACACCTAGTATACATCTGAAGTACATCGAATCGATTCTCCATACATCGAAAATTCCATACATCGACTTCCCTGTCCTCAAGAATAAATTCACCAAGTCCCTATTTCGTAAACGATCGTCTTACCGATGTCATAGCCGGCAGACTTGTTATTGTGTACTTCAGCCAGTAACTTGGCAGCTTCGTAAAGTAGCACGCCCCTGGGTGACAGCTTCCTGCAGGCCGGATCGTCGTGGATGCTCGTCAGCAGCGAGATCTGCGCGTGATTTCCGCATTCCGTTTTCCCGCCGCAAGTGCACGCGCAGATTACGCCGATCACCGCCAGGAACCACCGCATATGACCCATGACTCTTATCCTTCTTCTTTCTAGCACATTACTTCCTTATATCCGCCGAATTTCTTCGACCCCGTCGAACAATTCGGTCGCTGGAACAACGTTCTCTTTTTTTGTGCAGGAACACCAGGGATGCGTCACTCGTTTCTTGCGTTCGGTTCCGATAAGTTGTTTTCACTGAACTTTTATCGCGTCGCGGAATCGCGCGGTACGTGCAGGGCTCTCGGGCGACGACGATGTGCAAAGCTGCCCGACGAAGCTTCCCCTCGAACTACGGACCTTGGTAGTGAAAAGCGGAAGCTTTATAAAGAAGCCAATGTGACATGTATTAGGCGAATTTCTAGGGTTTTAGGCTCCGAGGAACGCGCGCTGCCAGGCGTTCTCAAGACGACCTTGCTGCGATTCTTTAGCGACAACCCTCCTTCCGATTCTTTTCTCTTCGTTTTGCTCGCTCGTTTCGTGCCATTAAATCGATTAATTCGGTCGAGGTGAGAGGATTCGATGCATAGTTATGCTGAGAAATGATTTTTGAGATAGGCGATGAATATTATAATAAATTTGTAATCGGGGTTAGGATTGAGGAGTAGGGGTGGTGAAGCAGAGGCGGTGGTTCCTCGAGGTTGAATTTTTGGTACGGTGAGAACCTCTCTTAATCGAGCGTAAGCTCGTTAGCATATTGGACTGCAAATCCTTGGTTGCACAACCTTACCCTTGCATAACAATCACGATTGATTAGAATCATCCGCCAAGAAATGTTGTGGCTTGCCGTTTCGAGAGCTGGGATAAAGCGGACACTTTCGGTTAAGTCTTTTGGTAAATAACGTCTTCATGTCCCTCTACAGAATTTTTCTTTTTTGATCGGGCCTCGACTGCTGTGATCATTGGCCCCTTTCTTTTTTATCACATAACGTTGGAAGTTTACATCGTAATAGTGTAACGTCTTAAAATTTCATTGTCCAAAGCTCCAGTCCCTAAGTTTATGACTCAGAATTCTGCTGCGAAGTCAGCAATGCAGCGTCCAAGGTTTCCAAACTCTCAACAATGTTCCAACATCCTAAGTTTGCGGACTATTCAAAAACCTCAGCGTGGGGAATTCTAAAAATTCCAAACTTCCAAAAGTACAAGTTTGCCAAACTCCAGTTTCACAGATTGCAAAATTTGGAAATCTAGAATCGAATTCCTGAAATCAACAAGCTCTGGTTTCTCAGCGATAATCACGAATGATCAATCATAATGAACCTTGCACTAATAAAGATGCTAATGTGACGTTACAACGTCGTAAATTTTGACGAACATTGAAACATACTTGCAAGCGTCAGATTAAAAAATGGCTGATAAACGAGTCTAAGTTATTTATCGGTGAACAGTGAGGTGTGCTTCCCTGTCTACGCAATCGGCTTCGATTATTTCATCATAAACCGCTTTTTTCGTACGTTTTTCTATGTCATTCCTTTGTAATCAGAGGCGGGGTTCGTCTATTTTTATTATTTCATACGTTTTCTTCCCTCACGTTCATCGTTTTCTGAAGCGTAACGCCGGTAACGGGATACAACGTTAGCGCGGCAAGGAATATTTAATAACACGTTACCAAGGTATATTAAATGTTAATGCACAGGGTGTTTCGCAGCGTGTGGTGCAACCGAGAAAAAGGAAACGGTTAATTGAAAACGTTACGATACAGTCTTTCTTCGATTTTCTTTAATCCGTTTTTTCCGTCTGCCTCTTTCAGAAAATTAGACGTTTCATTATTCTTCGACCGGTTGATGAATGTATATATAAAGTTGCTTTTTTGCTGTGTCAAACGTATTATTAGAAGCATTACGCGCGAGTATTGATTTCGTGTCGAGTGTGCGTGAAGTTATTTATCGAATGTCTGTCAATGATATCTGCTAAAATTATTTTCCTGTGGGACTCAAAGGGTTGCAGGATCACAGTGGTCTGAATAAAAAATTAAACACTTTGATTATTTTTGTGGATAATCGTTCTGAGTATCTTTGATTTCGAGGATTAACGATAATGATCTTAGCATAACAATTTTTCAAGATTTTTATTTGAGGATCATTCGAGCTACTAATTTGGCAATTATTCAAGAGTTTATTTAAGGTTTATTCAAGCTGCTAATTTGGCAATTATTCAAGAGTTTAATTTAAGGGTTATTCAAGCTGCTAATTTGACAATTATTCAAGAGTTTATTTAAGGATTATTCAAGCTGCTGATTTCACTATTATTCAGGAGTTTATTTAAGGTTTATTCAAGCTGCTAATTTCACTATTATTCAAGAGTTGAATTTAAGGATTATTCAAGCTGCTAATTTGGCAATTATTCAAGAGTTTATTTAAAGATTATTCAAGCTGCTAATTTCACTATTATTCAAGAGTTTATTTAAGGTTTATTCAAGTTACTAATTTCACTATTATTCAAGAGTTTATTTTAGGATTATTCAAGCTGCTTATTTCACTATTATTCAAGATTTTAATTTAAGGTTTATTCAAGCTGCTAATTTGACAATTATTCAAGAGTTTAATTTAAGGATTATTCAAGCTGCTGATTTGACAATTATTCAAGAGTTTATTTAAAGTTTATTCAAGCTGCTAATTTCACTATTATTCAAGAGTTTATTTAAGGTTTATTCAAGCTACTAATTTCACTGTTATTCAAGATTTTAATTTGAGGTTTATTCAAGCTGCTAATTTGACAATTATTCAAGAGTTTATTTAAGGTCTATTCAGACTATTAATTTGACAGTTGCTCAACATTTTAATTGTATAGGGTGCTTCACAAAAAGTGGTCCACACAGAAAATTTTTAATGAACATTGATCTAATTTTCAGCGTTAGATATTATTCTCTAGTGGAAGCCTTCAGTATTTTTCACTAAGAAATATATTACAGAAGATGTGATTACAGGGTGTTTCATAAGCAGTGACCAAACTGAACATTCTCTTGTGTTCGAGAAAATTAGACATCAATATACAAAGTGTCTCATAATCAATTACGTAACCAAGAAAGAATAACTTGAAAACTGGGTTGCACTTTTCAGCTACGGCTTCATTTTCATCCAAATCTTATAAATCTCCATTGGCAAACACGTTGCTCAAACACTTCAAATGAACATCATTCCGACTACGTAAGCATTCAACAATTCTAATTTCATTAACGTCGAAAGATACATAAAATTCCTGAATAAAGACCAATAAAGATTAACAATATTAGATCCGAGTTCATAATTCAATCTTTATTAATTGATCTCCTATCTGAAGAATCTGAAGTTTTTCCCTGCAATTATGAAACAATTTTTTTCTAGCTAATAGCGAAACAAATGGGTGCATCCGACGAGTTATTTAACAACGGTTCACACGTTTCTGGAATTTTTCTAATTCCGCAATCGATCGTAAAAGTGCAGTCTCGAACACCTCGAAGATGATTACCAGTATTTCACCTTGGATTCTTTTTCCTTCTATTATGTATGCACACAACGCTCGTGTATGCTTCTTAACTGAAATCCCTCAGGAATAAGAGATTTATTTATTTACGTAAGACAAGATGTTGTGCCGTTGTTGTAGTTTCTCGACTTTAGAAGCGGTGTTTGGTTAAGCAACGAACAAAGTGATATATGCGAACACAAGATGCAAGCGACATTTGTAATACCCTCACGTGAAATTCAATTTCGCCATACCGGGATAAAACGCTCCAACGAAAGATTCCGTTAAGATGGAAATTTTCTATGTGGAACCTGCTTCGAGAAATCTTTGCGAAACACTATGTTCGATGGAATCTTTAATGACTTTGCTGTTAATGGTTATTGATAATGGAGTTTTTTTGCAGGGAAATTTGCATAGATGCTATGCAAGGTAAATTATGGGTGAATGAAGCTTGAAAATATTGAAAAAAGAAATGAAAGTTAATTGGAGTTTGCAAGAGAAATATTCTTTAAAGAGTAAAAAAAACAATAAAGAGTTATAAAGGTAGATGCGTTAAAATTTTTCTTTGAAACTTACAAGTATTGCAGATATATTTTACATTATAGATATTTAACAATGAAAGAGAGTAGAAGTTTATTAGAAATAAGTACAGTCAATGTAATATAATTAAATAACAATAAATATATTTTCTCTACATTAAAATATTAATTAATTAGATGGTAAGTGAGTTTTATCGAATCGATCCGATGCAGGTGGCAGTAGAAAGCAGGCTACCATAATTACTCGATGAGTGCTCGTTAGCTGGCGCCACATACTAATCTTTACAAACACATCTAACATTCAAAACTGTTTTCAACAAAATTACAAATTTGCATTAACATCAAATTTTGTATCTAAGTTACTCTTTACTCACTTAGATTTTCATTCTATAAAAAGTATCATGGAAGTATTCAAATAGATTTTAATTTTGCTTCTATTTTTATAATGCCACGGTCTCACTCGATCCCCATAACAGTAAAATATCAGATTATATAATGTGTGGAAAATATGATCTGTGAGTGATACAACGCGTGGGAAATAAATGCGTAGGAGAGACAACACGTTGAAAATAAATGCGTGGGAGATACAACACGGAGGGTATATGAAGTGTGGGAGATGCGAAGTTGAAAATACAATGCTTGATAAGTACAACGCGTGAAAAATTCAACGCGTAGAAAATTCAAAGTGTGGGAAATTCAATGCGAGAGAAATTCGATATGTGAGAAATTCCATGCGTGGAAAATTCGATATGTGCGAAATTCAACGCGTGGAAAATTCGATGCGTGGAGAATTCGGCGCTTGGAAAATTCGGCGCGTGGGAAATTCGACGCATAGCGAATTCCACGCGTAAAAGATTCGGCGCGTGGAAAATTCGACGCTTGGGAAATTCCACGCGTGGAAAATTCAATGCGTGGAGAATTCGGCGCTTGGAAAACTCGGCGCGTGAAATTCCACGCGTGAGAAATTCGATATGTGAGAAATTCAGCGCGTGGAAAATTCGACGCTTGGGAAATTCCACGCGTGGAAAATTCGATGCGTGTGAAATTCCACGCGTAAGAAATTCGATATGTGAGAAATTCCACGCGTGGAAAATTCGATACGTGAGAAATTCGACGCGTGGAAAATTCTATATGTGAGAAATTCGACGCGTGGAAAATTTGATATGTGAGGAATTCCACGCGTAGAAAATTTGATATCTGAGGAATTCCACGCGTGGAAAATTCGATACGTGAGAAATTCCACGCGTGGAAAATTCGATATGTGAGAAATTCAATGCGTAGAAAATTCGATATGTGACAAA